GGACCTCTTGCAGCAAGTAGTAAAGTTATGCAATCTCAGGTAATGCACATGTTTGCCATTCGCGCATCTGCCTCCGCCAAAGGCGAAAATGATTGAAACCCAAATTGGACTGTCATTTATTTTGACATCTTGCGTACAGGCCTTACAGGGTAAGAATTCTTAGTCGAAGTGGCCTTTTCGTAAGAAACGCTGACCTTCTTGAAAGACATCAAACGCTGTTTCAAATGTGTTTTTCTTATCTTCGGGCGTCTCTGGACAAAGAGTTGCGAGATTAGGGCAAAATTTTTAAGTAGTTAGAAATGTCATTTATAGAAGACCCTCATGAACTCAAACGGAACACTAGTGACCGTTAAGCCTTTCTATGGGGAAAATTCTTGCTTGCTACCTCATGCTCGTCATTATTCCATCTAAATGCTGTCACCACTAATTCTGCTCGGGTCAGGTGTTCTAGCTTACTATAGACGCTCACAACTCTTCACCCCAAGAAGAAAAAAAAACAGTTTGGATTGAGCGTTCAGTGCCCTCAAGATTATATGCATACCAGTTGGAGAGACCCTTCGTCTAAAGATCCTTTACTGGTTAAACATTTTTTAGTAATTATTCTGTTCAGGCGGAAATGTTCAATATAATTTTTAAACACCATTTTTGCTGTTCATCTACCATTCCGTTAAGACTTTTTCAAATCTTTGAACGCACTTTCAAACAGAGAACAACTAGTTAATTTAATTCTGTCTGAGAAGCAGTATTCTGAGAATTAGAATATTTGTGTGTGAGAATGCACCTTCACCGAAATCTACGATAAAACTAGTCTTGAGTTACAGCATTAAGGATAACGTAGCTTGTGGGACGATCTTCTCGCATCTGAATAGCGTGTCAGCAGCCAGGTGGCGAGATGTAGCTGGCTAGGTGTAACTCTGTAGCACAGCATCGTGGCTTCAGTAGAACACTAGTATTTTTGAAGCTAAGCAAGGACCACAAGCGGTTTGAATAGAATTTTGCTGAGAAGGTCTGAAAATGAAAGCAGAGCGGAAAAATGCAATTAGTGGCTCAAAGAAGTGGGATCTCACCGCAACAGCATACCTTATGTTGGTATGTTGGCATGTCCTTATGATCAGACAGTTCGAAGCGTTAGTTCTGAACGAAAAACTGACAAAACTCTAACAAGCAAGACCATGGGGGGGGTCTAAGCTTATAGAGTTCTCTCAATCATTCGTTCGAATATTCGCCAAATGGCAAGATCTTATATATAAAGCTGAATGTCTGTTTGTCTGTCTGTCTGTATGTATGTCTGTCTGTCTGTACGTATGTTCCGAATAGAAAATTCCATTTCTAAGAAAAAAAAGAGGAAGAAAAGCTGCGTCGGATAGTGCCTGAAGCGTTTCCCTTCCTTCATTCCTCGTGTTTTTATGATAGGTTGAAAAAAGGGGAAAGACCTTTCGGAACGACCTAATATTTAATCAAAAGTATCGAATAACTGAATTTCGAGTATTTCAATAAAACACCAACTATCTGAACATCGAATATTTTTGAAATGGAAGAAAATCGATTAATCGAATTTGTTCAAAAAAAATCTTTGCATGCGTTTAAACAACTTCTGATCGAATTAGCTCAATGAAGGGCTAGATGTAGATAAACAACCTGAACAACATGCGATTTTGCTGATATAGCATTCAAGGTGTATGTATTAAGTGGGCAAAAGTTCTGTCGTTTCATTTTCAAAAATTTGTAACTTTGCGCTATTTCAACGGATTTGCTTGCTTTTAATTTTGTTAGAAAAAAAATTTTTTACTTTCAAACGTTGTTTTGGAGATCCTCGGTTTCACATTAAATGCAGAGATAAAAATGGAAAAGTAAGACCATATAAGCTTTGAGCATTTCAAGTTAGGTCACCAGAAATCTGGAATGCTGCAGAAAAATCTGAAATCTATGCATGCTGTTTCTTATTTGCATGTTTCGCTACCTCTTGTAAAATTTATACAAGCAGGTAGGCAAGAGCCCTGTATGGGGGGGGGGGGCGGCAAGATTTTTATTGAATGAGGGTGCGTGGCGTTGACCACGCACTCCGAAAACATTTTTGGGGTGCTTCTCGAAATTTTTGCGGGTCCATAACACGCTCCGAAGCTAATTTGAATTTTTAAAAAATTTTTAAAATTATTTTAATTATTTACAAGAATAAACAAGTCACTTGCACATTTTATCCCATGTTAGTGAATTTCAAAAAACTCGCGACCCATTCTCAGAGGGAGCCCCCACCCCCCCCCCCCTCGGTCTGTCACTGCTGTCTACTGATTCTCAGACAATTGCATCGGGAAGTTCGCGGGTGCTTGCTCTGCCACCAATCATCCATGCCGCGAGCTGTCCGGTATAAACCGATATTGGACCCGATAAGTGACCGCGGCGCATTCTGTAATAGTTGCCGATAGTTGACTCGATCAGCATGCTTGTGAGGTTTAGGTAGAGTGAAAAAATTTTGGCCTGTCTTTCATGACAACGACTGAGTACAAATTGAGCAACTTGTTAGCTTATCTGTCGACACCATCTATTTTCGTCGATGACACTTAACCGATTGCTCAAGTTTGTTTCGTGAGCATATAAACTCAACTGTTACACAGCCCAACCCGAGAAGCGATTAGCAGTCACACAGACACTTAGGGTAGCCCCATCGCTGCGGCTTACCTAACGCGGGTTCTGCCTTGAGCTACAGCGTGTAAGAAGTGCGGCCTTTGATAAGGCCCGCGGCACGCCGAGTGAGGTGATTGGGCCGCGACTCTCCCGATAAGCTCTTTGCAATTTTAACTTTGGCCGCGGCGTTCCCGGTAAAATATACATGGACCGCGGCGTGCGCAGCTGAAATTCTAAGGGCCGAACGCGCCATGTAGCACGCTTTGAGGCCGCGAACTTTCCGATGCAATTGTCTGAGTTATTGAATCCGAGGAATTTTGCTCATGCAGGACGACAGAAAGCCTTAAGCCACTTCAAAAAACGATGTGAATACCTCTTTCAAAATTTCTTCAAATAATTAAAAATAAATGTCGACTGTACGAAATCCCCCGTATCGCTTTAGGCAGTGCAGGCGAGAATGATCAAGCGGCTGCCGAGATTGGTGCTGTAATGATTCTTGTGCGTGAATGTCATTGTTAGCCCGCAATGGACACACTCGCGAAAGTTTAGCCTACGACGATTGGGAAGATTACGTGCAGCCAATTTTACCTGACTTGGAGACGCACGACAAGAGGGCAAACCCTGGGCCCGGCACCAGTCGGTTCCTAGGGTTTCTGAAAACGAAGTCTCCCCTGACTTTCGGATGTTTTACGAAGTCCTATTTGACTTACCTACTTAGGAGAAGATAAAAACAAAATAAAATTTATAATCTGACAGAAAAAATGTGAGATAAGAGTGAATATCCACATTGGAGCTGAATACTACGCATGCTCAAGAGTTTGGCATTGGAGCGCGATATTCAAAGCGATTTATGAGGAAATTAAGGCAAAAAATAAAGGAAAGGCAATGATATGGAAATGTCTTCATGCTCCGGGATAGATTTTTGATTGGGGAATCCGTAGATGATAGAAAAATTTGAAACTTATGTGAAGCGACAGAAATATATGATCTAAACGATCTCAGATCGTCTGGTGACCGTCTGGAGACGGAATAATTTTGGAAAAGGTAATACTCTTAAGTTTTTGAATCTTTTTGCATAATTCTTTTGCAAATAATTTTCTAAGTATACATTTCAATCAATTTTGGTGTCATATGATTCTGTGTGCGCTGTAAACAATCAATTTGTTTCTTTTAGCCTTGCCTGCAAATCGCGCGCACTTTCCGCCATACACGATATAGCATGTCAATCGTGTGATAACCTGTCCGAAAAGCTTGTGTTCTGACTGAATGGCGCTTATTCTTGGTGCTCGGCCCCACTGCAAGAACGATATCTTTCTGCTTATTGCTCCAAAAACGAAGTCCACTCTGCTTCCAGACGATCTGTGCCGGGCCCCGGGCAAACCTGAGAAAGTTTTGTTGGCGTTTTGCATGAGCAATAGGCAAATAGGCTTTCTACTAGCGTAAAAAACTGAACTTACATACTTGTAATAGCAATCATACTTTTAAATCGATTTGTTGCTCAAAAGATCCTGCTTATATTATCAAACATATTCAATGCTTTCACGGTTAACAAGTAAACATGCGGTGAAACTCATGTTTCCATTTTCTGATGATTATGACATGTTCAATATGTAGAAAGTATAGACACATTAAAGTAATGAATCTGTGAAGGCAGCAATTTATGACCGCAGATCATCTGAAAATAGTGCGGCAAAAGAACAAGCTCATTTTTAATTGCCCCGGGGCATATCAACACCATCGGTCACGGATACCGTGAAATGAGGCAGCGCATGCGCGCCGCAAGCGAAAAAATTGCACTTGAGCTCAAAGGCAACCGCGTTGTAGACTCATGATGTTAATCCATCCAGTGTTTATCATCTATGCGTATGTTGAGCGTTGGATTCCATCTTGTATCGACTGCGAAATACTTCAGATAATTGCCCCGTCTGAGTGAAGGGGGCTCAAGCAGAGACTGTACGCTTTTTTCGCTCATGCGTAGAAGTAGATTATCTATTCTAAAATTGGAAGACTTGAAAACGCTTCACATAAGTATGATTAAGTAAACACTATTCGTTAAATCTGTTTGGTAGGTTTACTATTAGAGATCTGAGAAGAAACATACGCAAGTTAAAGCATCCATACATATCAACAAGAACATTCAAAGAGAGCGATGTCGGCCCTAGCTACAAATCTAACTGCAGCCGCTTTCCTGCTCGGTGCTAATTTCGCTGCCTGCGTTGCGCTTGCAGACTCATCCCGTGGGTACCCTTGACCAATGGTGGTTGGTGTGCACTGTATCTTCAGTTGTAACTGCGCCACCTGCACTGCCGACAACATCACCTGTAACACCTCCACACTGTCAGTGTCCTATGGATCTGTACAGGGACAGACTTTGCCCCTCAACTGGACCTTGCAACAAAGATCCCAAGGTAAGTTTTTACTTTTTGCTTTATCTGCCCCACTGGGGATGGAGGCGGAACCATTTGCTCAAGTTGCGCGCACGCAGCGCCAGTACCTTGCACTGCATACGGGCACTTCGGAGAGAGCCAAGTGATTGGAAGCAGAGCAGGCAAGCTGGCCATAGGCTTGACGCAACACTCTAGTGATGCGGACTCTCGCCATGCCAATTTTGGCCTGATTGGAATTGGGGCAAACTGTAAATATGAATTTGCTATTGTAACTTTGTTCGCAACGTGTTTCAAGAATGTTGAGTATTAATCGCTGTCTCAAAAGCTCTAATGTGAAGTGATTTATCTACTTCAAAACTAATGCAAAATCAATGATTTTCTTGTAAACTAAGAAAGACAAAAATGCAACCAAAGAAACACTTATGAGTATAATGAATTAGGCGCCATAGGACTATATCGTCAAGTGGTCCTATGTATCCCAGTGTATTTGTAGCAATGCTTTGAAACGCGTAACTGATCTTGTACTGTGATTTGTTGACGAAACGAAATATAACATGTCTGAGCTGCTTTTTAATAGTTGTATTTCAAATTATATCTTTACGCGAGAAAAACGCGGTATGTTACACTAGTCAAATCCAGTTCTAATTTTAGCTACTTCTCTAGTGCATTTGTGATCATGTCAATTTTCTCATCTTAAGGGGGCCAGAGATAACAAGCAATAACTTCACAAATTTTCCCGCTCTCTGCAAATCCAATGCTTGACGAATAGGTCCAAATACTGTCTTGATAAACAATCTAAGTGATCGCTTTATTACATAGAAATTTACTCGTTTTATTTTTTCGCAGAAAGGATTTATTCAACATGCTTCTTACAACAATGACGTCATTGTTGTAAGAAGCATTTCGAATAACTTCTCTATGCGAAATGATTTTTATTTGCTGTAATTCCGATATGTTCTCAAAATACGGTAAGTGTGCAATGGGGCGCACTGTCATACATATACAGTTATGGCTTTGGAATGTGAAAATTTTCGGCGATATTGCCGACGTCGGCGACTTTGCTTTTTCGCCGACTTTGGCGAATTCGCCGAGAAGATTCACATTTTATTACTGTCACAACTGTATTTCCATTTACTGTATGGGTGGAGAGGGTGTGAGGGGAGGGAAGGGGGGAGAGGAGATATCTGATGCCTTGTTTACAACACTTTAGACACTTTTCTCGGATCCGTTCTGAATAACCAGAGCGGTTATTGTCCAATATAACTGCAATGATTACACTCATTTGCTACACGTAGTGTTATGATACACGCATTGTGTAAAGCCACTTGAATGTGTCTCCTAAGTTGCTTAGTAGCTTTTGTTTCAATGTGCACAGTATTTTAATCTTACCCTGCGAGAGCTCAGCAAAGTTGCTGAATACAATTACCGCTTGAAAGGAAATGGACTGCCGCGTACGATGCGATGAGTACTACGTTGCAGAAAAATATTTGCACCTGTTCTTTCATATCTAGCTTCAATGAAATAGTTGGCATGCCTTCAGTCTCTTTGGGAACACACTTCTCCGCCCGTGCAGCATTAAATTTTTCCCTTACCTCATTCCAATCAGTTGGTCATGTAAAAGGTACTGCTGAGACATCCGATATCGCTCGATTAACTTCGAAAAAACGATAAAATCAACTTCCTACTGTTATTTCGTGCTGCTATTTTAGTGCCCTTACACTTCAAAGCTAGACTCCATCTCAAAGTCTGCAAAGACCGAGATGGAGTCCAGCTTAAGGCCGATTGCGGTAGTTAATTTCTTGAATAGATGTCACATTTGTAGTGGGCATGCTCTCTCTCGGCCCTTGGGGGGAAGGGGGCTCTGACTGTACATGCCAAATATGGCTCAGACTCTGCATACAGGAAGAGTATGCCAGGTGTTAAGACAATGACATCTGTCTATCCAATCAAGTCTTGAAGTAGAGCATTTTCTACTAGAAAACCCGCTTTGACACTATGTATTGATTGAGCTTATCGTTGGGAAACCCCGAAATTTATCTTTGGAACACATTATAGCGCGCAAATGGTGCGTGCAAAGAGAAAACGAGGACAATAATGAAAACGAAGCACAGAATAGAAATAGTATTAGGTCATTTCGAAAGCAATTTCGCTTTTTTCAGACGTACGCCACATCTTGTGGGACAAAATTGTGTAAGAGATTCTAACAGCGTTTAATGCAGCATTTCGTTTTCTTTCTAATGGTTATATAATCACCGCACAAAATATAATAATCTCTCGAAAAATTATCAAAATCTGCGCCCCATGCTTTTTGAGAAGACCAAGTCTTACAATTTTCTAAATTTTTATAACAACCCTCGGAAGCAGCCAAAGTAAGGGATGAATAAAACACCCTAAAGGACATAGCACAACTTTTTTTTACTTTGCAGAACTCGTCATAATTTTTGCAGATTTTTTTGATGGGACCCCCGAATTTTAGCAGGCTCGTTCCAGACACAAATGCATCATACACGAATAAATCTTCGGATTTTGAAACTTACAAAGATGGGTTATGGTTTGACACTAATTTTACAAATCAAATGAGCATCCATCGCTTCAGATTAGCAACTTTCGAAAATTACGGGTACAGTCTGGGGCGCCCTGGAAAAACTGAATTATGATGATTTTTTCCCGGAAAACTTGATGAATCGGAAACAAAAAAAAACAACTGTTAGAAAGAGGAGAAAAAGCTGCTTGAATGACATCCGAGCGGTTTGCCGGTTGCTGCTCTGTAAGGTTTGAATTGACCAAATATGGATGATGGCATTGAAAAATTGATTTAGTGGGCTAAGAAAAAGAAAAAAATTGCTCCCTGCCCTATAAGGTTTGCTCTATCCACCCCTTGCTTGTACATCCTCGGAGATTAGGACTTGACTATGGCAAAAAGCATGAGCCGCAGATTTTGGTAATTTCTTGAGAGCTCATTGAATATTATGCAATGAAATTACAACCATTAGAAAGAGGATGAAATGCTGCATTGAAAGCTTTCAAGATCTCTTGAAAATCTTGATTCTATGGAATGGGCGTTCATTTGGAAAAAGCGGCATTACTTTCGGAACGACTTGATATATTAGTCAGGTGTTGAAGAAATGTGTGTTCTTTGCCGCGAAAGAGAATGAAAAAATGTGCAAAAAATATATCGATGCAGCAAAGAGCTCTACATGGCTTTCAGTGAGCGCAAGGAATTCGATACCTATGAAGTTTTGAAGAAGAGTCTATTTACGAAAACTCGAATTCGTATTTTTACCCACAGAAATCTAAGAAAAGTCCAAATTGCCTGAAAAAGTCACCTGTCGCATTAGCTATTCATTTACACACTTGATGTATATATCTTTTCCCAAGGAGTCTTTCGCCTACCTCCAGGCCCACTTTGTATAGCTAGCTTCGACTAAGATTTACAGCATGGAGCGAGTCACCGATCGCTCTTCAGGATTACTAGAAACTTCAAGAAGAGTTGTAAGCCATTAGGGACCCTCTTCCGCCTCAGAAATCAAAACGAACAAATCAAACAGAAAACTTTCATATTAGGTTAGTTCAAGCTGAAAACCAAATATGATTTGTGCATTTTACCGCAATGGTTCCTTCATAACTTATGCCGGGTAAAAAGCATTAGCTATTCTTACAATAATCCAAGAAATTGTAATTACGCTATTTGAAAAGCTTTGCAAACTCGTAAAAAGTTGAATAATTAAATCAGCAAAAGTGGAAACCCTAGTACACCACTTTTCAGATTTTTTGGAACCTTTTACTAAGACACTATCAATTCGCAATGACACTGTAAGCAGATCCTACCCTAATCTTACAGTGGTGAAGAGCGATAGGTGACTTGCTCATATATCACATCTAAGTTGAAGCCAGTTTTACAAAATGATACCTGAAAATGGTCAAATACTCCTCGGAAAAAGAGATATTAACAATCAAACACTATTTACTACTTTTTGAGACACCCTGCATTTCCCACGCAAGAAATTGGAAGTATAAAAATTTGCATGCACAAATCTAATGGTGAAACTATTTCGACGTAATTATTCTATACTACGGTCTTTTGAATATATAAAGTGATTTTTTGACCTTCTACAAACGGTAGTCAAAAAAATACAGAATCAGAGTAAAACAGTTGAAAAAACACTGTCAAATTTCGTAAGTCTAATTTTGATTTCAAGACGCAAAAAATAGGGCAAATGTATAAATGATACCCGATGTGGACAGTATATGCGTGGCGAAACTGGAGGTTTGCGAACTTTTGTATGGGTAGCCTTCAAACTTCTCGTGGATTGAACTTTTTGCTAGTGTTGGAATGCCATCTTATAAAGGTTGCTTTGCTCCATCAAATAATTTGTTTCTTACATTTTTATATCTTCGTCTACCTCTGCAATATAGTTCATTAATTCTGCTAGTAACAAAGTACGCATTGTGAAACTCCTCAGATGGGACAGATGCAGACCCCATCTTTCTCTTTAGGTCTACGCCCAGCTCTACAGCGGCTGCAAGAAATAAAGAAATTGATGAAGGCGATGGATGTCAAGCATGACTGTTTTTTCGTCAGCTTGATTTTTTAAGTTGCGCTAACTCTCAGCACTCAATATCAATCGATAGCGAGATGTAATCAATGATTGCCGTCTCGCCGCGAATAACCGGTTCTGGAAGCGAAGCTGTTTAGTTAGAATTTATATGAAGGCAGACAGACTAAATACCAAGATAAACGTTTATTGAGCTTCATGTATGAAACGTGATTCTCTAGAGGAAAAACTGCCAATATTAATTGTGCCATACCTAATTTGTAAAATTATCCTCAACAATTTCACTATCTAGTAAAACTTGCCAAAGTCAGCACCTTCTTAGATTAAAAAAGGCTTCACAATTTTTTAGAAGCGTCGTTGGAAGTTATTCGACCATAGTTTTTTTTGAAGTATTCCGTTTAAGCCTGTGCTTTTTCCACAGTCAATAAAAACAAATCATCGTTACCGCAGAAAACGTCTACCTCG